GCCAAGGGTCTTCACCCCTCGCCACCTTTCACCCTCATGAAAACACACATACACGCAAATACACTCCAGTTTTTGTTTTTGCATGAAATTGTATCTCAGTCTAAGGTCTCATGCTGTTGCTGCTACTGTCTTACTATTATAGCAACTTTCAGAAGTAATTTTCCAGCCTTTGGAAGTCATGAGCCCACCATTGTTCATTTGTGCACCAATTGTCATCTTTTGATCTTTGAGTTTTTCCCTCAGTGAAGGCTAAATGAGATACACTGATTCTAGGTACATTTTTTAACTTTCTAGAAGAGAAAATCTAACTAGACTAAGAAGATATAGTTTATCAATTCAGAACAAGCAATTGTGGAAGGGTGGTGGCGTGCATATGTAAAGCACATCAGATCCATGCGTGAAGTAGGTATATATCACTAAGCTGTGGCTGGAATTGATTAGGAAGCATTTGGTAGAAGGACTGAACAACTGTTGGGATATATAGATATATATATATATATATATTTTTAAATTCCTGGTGGATACTGTAGAAGAAGCCCATATCACATGTGGATGTCGAGACTCCCGGGCAATCATGAGCCAGTGAACACTGTTCTACCAAGAAACGAAGGCACATGCACAGCCAAGGTCACTTACAGGGTCTTATGAAACAGTTTGCGCCAGAGAGCATCTTTCCCCCGTGCTTGGAAACCTTTTTTCCTTCTTGACGTTTATCACCTCTGATGGCTGAAGAATGTAGACAGGTATAATGATACTGCTTTTCACCAAAATTTGTACACCAAGGTAAACAGGTGTTTGCCTTATTTAATTTTTTACTTTCAGTTCTACGTGAATTAGCTTTTTCTCAGATGTTAAAACTTTGAATGTCCTTTTATGATTTTGTTTATATTGCAGTAGTATTTATTTTTTAGTGATGAGAATTGTATGTCATGTCAGCAAACGCAGCTCCAACCTATATAAAATAGACTTACTGCAGTTTCTTTTGACCCATGTGCAAGGATTGTATACGCTGATGAGAATCATGCACTTTTTCTCCTCTGTTAAAAAACGATAAGGCTCTGAAATGGAATATATTGGTTAGAATTTGGCTTTGGGAGAAGAGATGCTGTCATTTAACCCCTTGGTACTGAGAATGAGAAAATCCCCAACTATCCATGCCAAGGGGTTAATGAAACAAATAGCTGTTGACATTTGCTCATTGAAGAATTGAAACATTATGATGACCTGGCAACAAAAAGTAATGAAGAAAATTGAGACCTGAGTGATGATAAGAAATGATCTTTACATGGCAAAATGAACACATCTTGAGGATTTAGGAAGTGGGCAGTGAAGGCTAAGAACCTGGTGTGTTTCTTGGGATCATGGTACATTTATCACTGAATTAAGCCATCAGGGAAAAAACAACAAAAAAAGAACACCTCCAGCTTTTCTTTTTCTGTATATACTCATGTCCCCAGATTCCAACATTTCTCACTGAAAGGGGGCATGTATGCAAACCTCATCTTTCTCCTTCATTAATGATGATCTTCAGATTAAACCCTTTGGTGCTAGGAGCTGACAATTTCCAAAGCAGCCTATGAAGTCCTAGGGGCTGGGGCCATTCTTGCGGCAAGCAGAAGGCCACCCACTCCGTGGAGTGATCATGGAAATGGATTTTAGTTAAACTCTCTGACAGCTCCCAAATGGAAGATGACAGCGTGATGCAGTATTATGATTGCGTTGTATGAAAGAGCAAGTGACTTTCTAAGTAGGATGAATCATATTCATATGCAGATGTCTTAGCCTCTTGACGCTGGAAGTGTGGATTTATAGCTATGAAACCACTGCTGGCAGTGGGTGGGCCACTGGGACTGACGGGGGTTAAAGGGCATTTTACTAAGGCAGCTAAGACATATTCAGACATCAATGTTATCCTTATTTTTCATATTTCTACCTGAGTGAAGTTCATCCTTAGTATTGAGTAGGAAGTTACAGTAAATGGTAGTTCATTCTTACTTACACACAGTTAATTTTTTTTTTTCACTTGGAATTATGTTGAATGTTTCATTTTGACAAAAAAGTAGACTAGAAGGTATGTTCTTTTAAGTTGTCTTGCATCCATTATATAAGAAAGAAACAGGTGAGAGGAGGAGCAGAAAGCTGAGACTGGCTGATGTTCAGAGCACTCACTCCTCTGGAGGGAAAGCATGGCGCCGTACACTAAGCACATAGCTTTGTGTTGTTTTGGTTTTTTCCCCCAGATCTTACAGTGATTCCCGTGACCTTGGCCAAGGACACTTCCTAAAGTGTAATGACTGGCACTGACATTGCCCCAGTCGGGCCACTCCTCACACTGGCTCTCAGTCCCCAGCCACGCCTGGGGCTCAGTCACTTCCATTCCAGCCTCTGAGACTCCACTGGGGTCACACAAGGTGTCTTCTTGGCTTTGATTTTGAGAATCCCCTATTTTCACTTCCAGATCTGTCAGCTGCCATGGAGGAATAATAGAAAACCAGAAATGTGTGTACAGGGAGATTTCTAAAACTTCCCTTGTGTCGCCCATAGTTGTAGTTTTGGGTTCTGGCAGGTGGAACACCCTGAAACCTGGAATCATTCTATGAGAATACAGTTCATACTTCGCAGACTCCAGCCCATACTAACTGTCATGAAGCTTGACTTCTTGTCATAATGCAGCCATCTTGGAGGAAATTGGCCATTTCTGCTTGGATTGTTGGCAGGGTCACGCTCAGCTTTGCTTTCTACACTAATTACATAGCATTATTCAAGTATTGTTTTCCATTTCCCATCCCTGATTTCCAGCTTCTTCAAGCTGACTGTTCTTGCAGGGGCCACTTGCTTCTCCTAGAGGACAAAAGTAAGGGCCTTCCTTACTAACTGCAGGGTCTCTATATTACACCTCAACGTACACACTTTGCTGCTACTGTTTGTACTGTCCACAGTAGAATTTCCTCATCTTGCTCCTGGTAGTGCATTACAGGCAAGCATGAAATGTAAAGTATTTATTTAAATAAAAAGAAAACCTCTAAATTGGTAATTGAATTACCTCCCTGTAGCTTTATAGTTTGTGACATTTCTTGACCTTGCTAGTTCTTTCATTAGATCTGTGCAAGATCTAGTCATCTGGTTAAGGATTTTAAGCAGATGCAACTATAAACCCAAGAAACTGTATTACTCTTACTGTTGGTCATACTAAAACTGTCTATTTCCTTAAGTATATGGCCCACGAGGATGTGAAATAACTAGGAGAAACTGTTTTTGTACACTGTACATCCTTAGTATTTTTACACGTATATGATAGGGATGAACATGATTTTCCTTCGTGCAGACAGCTTAAATAAAGCACTATGTCAATCTGCTACTTCTCTGTTTATTGTTGTTGGATGTGGTTCTATAATCCCCCCAAATTAAATCTTCTTTAATGAAAACAGATTTTTAATAGCCCCAGCTGGTATTAACCTACCTTGTATAAAATGTGACAGGAAAATATACAAATTCCTTGTAGCTCCAACACACATAGGGGATCATTTTTACTTCAGTGGAATGGTAGTAGTGCGGTTACGCAAACTTTGATGAAGGGCTGCTTCCGAGGGGAGACGCTGACTCTCAGCACTGGATTTAGGACGGATGTTCTGTGAAGCCAGGGATGGAGGAGGTCTCAGACCTTGGAGACATTCAGACCCTCATCATCTATACAACACATGGTTTGGACCCAGAATCTGAAGGAATGTAGCTTGTCATTAATGTCTTCCTGATAATGTACTGCTCTGCGTACTTCCTTTCTTAGAGTGTATTTCTAACATGTCATGGCAAATTAACAAACTTCGACACGGGTGATGTAGATGGGTAGGACGGCTGGACTGCAGTCTGACTTCACGTTGAATCATTCTGGATGGGGCCTTTTTCTGATTTTACCTCATAAAGCTACTATTGTAGAAACTTGGCTTTGCTCCTGTGATGAAGCCAGACAGAGGAATGGCTTTTGGGACCAGAGTGAGTCAAGCGCGTATGTGTACGTCACACAGCCAAATTTGAGAGCATTCTCACATGTGCTCTTCTCTCAAAACCACTGGGGTTGACAGATCCAGGAGGCTAAAATAAAGTGACCTCTCTAATTCTTTAAAGGTGCTATTTTTAGAATATTGTATAATTTATTCACAGTATAGCTAAAACAGAATTAAGGACAATTAAAATATCTTATGTGACAGCCTTTATGTCTAGCACATTTGATGAAAAACTTCTGAATCTGAATAGAAGTTCTACTGTTTCAGGCTTGAGCCTTTTACACGCTCAAGAGATTCGAATGGTCTGTGTGTGTAGATCATGCCACCGCCTCCAAAGCCTAGTCCACACCACTTCTGAGAGGCAAGGCTGAGCGTGTGGTGACATCCGCTCTGTGTTGAGATGGGGATGAGGATGACGGCTCGCTGGCCAAGCAGGGTAGCCGAAGGTCAGGGACCTGTCCCAACTGCAGCCTTGCCTTTAGTGTTTGTCATTCTCAGATACAACACAGTATGTCCAGTGTCCATTTTTATTACTTTAAAGCATTTGAGGGCTTAACTGTGTATAGTAGAAATACTATTTTAGACAAATAATTATCTGTGTACAGATATTTGATATACTCTAAGTAAATTTTCTAATTTCACTAAGTACGTTTTTAGGCTCCTCTCAAATACTGCATATTGAAGAAAAAAATCTGACACCACCGAGCCAAAGATGCTTTTTTGTCTGTTTTCGTTGTTTAACAGAATGGAAAGAGTAATGCATAGTGCTTCCTGGTGTCTCCTGATTGATTGATTGTACACAAATTAGGACAATAAATAAAATGGAGTCTGATGGGACATTGATTAAAGGTGAAGGATGATATATAGATCATGAAAAGAAAAATGAATGGCAGGAAAAAAAGTTTGGTCCTTAATATACTTTGGCCTAGTTAAAATATGTGCCTTTTTGGTGTGTTTTGTTCATCACTACAAGATAAAAAGGAAACATTACAACTCAAGTCTTTAAAAAGTTCATTTATTGAAAATCATATGTATAACCTAGCATACGAATGAGCAGATTGAAACACGTAACTTCAAGCCATTTCTGAAAACATACACCAGGAGCTCTGCTCATCTGGAGTCAGACTCCAGCTCCAGCCCGGCTGCGTGCAGGGATGGCGCACGTGCTGAGGAGGACCAGCCCCTGCAGGCTGAGGCGGTGTCACCCGGGGAAGGTCGTGGTGCGTTGTGGCATATTCAGTCTAAATCAGATGAATGTAAATATCTCTTTGTAAATCATTTATTTCACTCTGTTCCATCCAGGTCAGCAATCAGATTGTGGCATGCTGGGTAACTGGAAAAAATAATAAAAAGTAAGTTTCAATAGCTCATGTTCTTCAATGTGATTTGTCTTCTCATTTGCTGGTTTAGTCACCTTTTATGATGAAAACTGTTGGAGGAAAAAAACCTGTTGCTAAAAATGTGGAAATTATATGAAAAGTTTGTGCCTCATCTTGTCCACATCAAAGCCCTTGTCACATACGAAATAAGGTTAACTGGTTTAGTGGGTTAAATTGGAAAACAACCTAGACTACAGACACTCGTGCCTCTTCAATAAGGACAGGCTGGTGTTAGGACATGGCCAGAGAGCCATCTCTTCTCCTCTCCAGGAAAGGACACATTGATTTGTGCCAGAATCTGTTTACTGAAAATTTTTCAGACCTTACAGCAGGTAATTCTAGAAGAAAAACAGGGTGTAGGCCAAGTGCCCCTAAGAAATTCCTCCTGAAACAAAACAAGCTGAAACATCTCCAGATTTATAGCTGCAAATGATTTACTGTAACATATAAAAAGTATTTTCACATGGACACCTCGAACCTCCCATGTGTTGGAAGAGGGGACTGGGGGTACTGAGGTCTCTCAGTTTTACACAGATACAAATGTTCCGAAGCTGCTTCATGCGAACTGGGTTGGGGGAGAATCGCAAGTTCAGAAAGTATTGAATACTGTTCCTGGCCTCTGCTGCCATGGCTGCCCAAATTAGTTTAAACTACGTCAGGAACTAGAGTCAGAAGCCATTGGAAATGGTTCTGTTCCACACAACATGGCTGGAGTTTCTGCTCTGCACTGTGTGGGAAGGTGACTGGGCCACAGTCCTCGCCCTCTAGAGTGTAAAGTGCAGGGAAAGCCAAGACGGTGTTTTCCAAATCCCGGTTTCCGCATCAGTTACACTGGCACGCACTGCAGGGCCAGGCGCCCAATCTGGTCCCTCCGTAGTTAGGAACCATCTGCCAAAAAGAGAAGTGGGCCTGCCCCTCCCCAGTGAGGATTTTCCAAGCTAGACTCCAAGGGAGGACTCTGTCAACCTACTTTAAGCCGTCATTATGTGGGGATTTCCAAGACAGGACAGTGAGTGAAACCGAATCTGCATTCAAGAGAAATATATGAACATCAGCCCGTTGCCTTTTACAAGAAATGAGAAAAAGTAATGTTTCCATTTCAAGTAGATTTCCCAGTGTGTGAGAAGCCCTGAGGACAGCTTTTTCTTGAACGGGTCTGTGAGTAGTGGGGGGGGTCTCAGCAGGGTAGTTAGAGTAGCTGGGGGGCCTGGCCTCGGGCTGAATGCAGGTGGGGCTCTGGCAGGAGGCCTCACTCCTCCTGGTAAACCTGCCATCCGATGCGCACAGCCCTCGCAGCCTGTGGAGCCAGGTGGACTATTTCCTGGGCCCACAGGGTGCCTTGTTCTCCAGGCCCTTTCTGAGTGGCCCATGGGGAGTCCACCCCGTGCGCTATGCCCTAGAGCCCTGCCATTGCAGAGGGGACTCCCTTCTATCCTCAGTGCGATACTCACAGCAGAGACTGCCACCAATGCAATCTGATCGTCAGACACATGGTTTGCACCAAGCTGACCTGCCTTCCAGGCCAGCGGATCGAACTGACCCAGCACAGTCCTGCTAAATGACTGATTTGAATGGCCCTCCACCCCTGCTCCATGGACTGGCCACGTAGGGCAGGTGGCCTGGTGGCCTCACTCTTGACACAGTGGCTTCCTAACCTTAGAAATGCTAGGATGACTCTGAATACAAAAAGGGTAAGCATAAATCCCAACAGATAACACTTCAAAAGAAAAACAGCCCAACTCTCAGCTGAGCACAGTGGCTTACACCTGTAATCCCAGCGCTTTGGGAGGCTGAGGCAATAGGATCGCTTGAGTCCAGGAGTTGGAGACCAGCCTGGGCAACAGAGCAAGACCTCATCTCTACAGAAAAATTGTAAAAATTAGCCACGTGTGGTGGTGCACACCTGTAGTCCCAGGGACTCAAAAGGCTGATGCAGGAGGATTGCTGTAGCCCAGAATTCAAGGCTGCAGTGAGCTATGATCGTGCCACCGCACTGCAGCCTGGGTGACAAAGCGTGACCGTGTCTCTTAAAAAAAAAAATGAAAAAAAGAATTGAATTTTGGGTAGAAAACACACCCCCCCACACACAATACAGAATAGGCGTGAAAACCTGAAATAAAAGTAAAACGTGTTACGGAATTTTCTGATAAGCTCCAGGAAACAGGCAATTCTCATGGTGAGTCTACATAATGCCTATGGGCTCCCAGGCCACCTAGCAATTTGTCAGTATCGGAGCTGTTCGCTGCTGGCACTCAGGTGACCTCCTCATTCCGTGGGCCTGCACGGGAGTGACACAGATGTGTGGGCCTCACCAGGAACTAATAGAAGTCAGCCTGATTCCTTCCTGCGGCAGACCGGCCGTGACCGTCTGCGTGGGCTTTGAATTTCATGCGGCTCAGGTGAGAAGCTCTCTACCCATCCCCACTTTCAAACTCACCGTCCGCTGCGCAAGCCCCCGTGCCTGGCCCATGGAGGGCGTTCAGTCAGCACTGGGGGGCTGGATAATCTATCCTAGGAGCTCACTGTTTTGTCACCTCCGTTTGCTGACTCTTCGGTACCACACACTTCTCTGACCCTGCAGCATGTCCCGAGACAGAAGTCGTAGTTACTGCCCACATCTGGCTTATCTGCCGTTAGGGATATCCATGATGCTTATTTCCAGAAGGTCCTGTCATCAGCACCGCAGTGGCCGTGGTCTCGCTGTCCAGGAAAGCAGCGCGTGCGTATGCCAGCGGGACGTGAGCCCTCAGCCAGTGTCTCCCATCCTTCTGCCCCTTCCATTTGTCATCATGGCCCTGCTGTGGCCCTCCTGTGGCTGCCCGCAGCACACTGGCCACGGCTCCCCTGCCGTGCTGTCCACAGGTGGCGGAAATGCACCCCCAGCTGCAGGCACACAGCTGCTAACCCATTTTCTTTGTTCTCGTTTTAGTCTTCTCTCCACAAACCCTGCCTCGTTCATTTCTGAAGTTTGTTAAGTTCTGAGTGTAAGAAATGAGTTGCTCTGGGTGACCTGAACTGTTCCCCGGGCAACCACGCTGTGGGGTCCAGCCAGCCTTTTCTGCTGCTTTGTTCCCAAGCCAGCCAGAGAGGCCAGAAGTGGCAGCCCGGGGAGATGGTGGCACCCCTCGCCCCTGCTCACGGGAGACCTGCCTGGGCTTCCCACTTCATTCTCTCTGTGGGTGGCTCTAGCCAGCCCTTCTGAAGGTAACATCCCCTCCCCCCCGCTATCTGCTCTGTCACTGGCGTGCTGCCTCTGTTTGGCCAAGTCAAAACATGGTCCTGGTTCCTTGTGTGTCTGGCAATAAAGCATCCATTTGTAACTGGAGAGGGCAGACCCCTCCCCCATCTCCATCTGGGGCATTTCAAAGCTGGCCCTGAGTTGACAGAGCTCCAGGGCAGCCCCTGCCTCGCTTGGTGGCTCGCCTCCCGCCTCCGCCTCGTGTTCTGGGCGCCAGAGCTAGGGCTCGGCAGCTGTTCCAGCCAGGCCCGGCTCCGCCCGCACCCGCTCGGGTACCTGCCCCCATCCACACATCCTGTGGCCTGAGAAGAAGTTCATTTCCCTGCCCAGCCACTTCCCAATTCCATTCACTTCATTTCTCTGGGCCTTATTTTTCTATGTACAAAATGGTTATTTATCTCAAATGGCCCTTTCAAGCCCACAATGATCTCAGCACTAATCCTGCTGGTTTCATAACCATCCGTGCTGGGCTCTGGGTGATATCAGGCACTTCCTTTTAAAGGGAAGCTGGTTCTTTTTTCTTTTTCTCTGCCAGAAATCAAGTGACATGGAAGCTAACACATGTCTCTGAAGCGACGCAGAGCTGAGATTCGAACCCAGGCAGTTTGACCTCAAAGTCCAGACTCCCATGCAGTCCATGCAGTCCAATCTCCTGCTTGCTCTAGCAGATGAGGGGGAGCCAGTTTGATATCTACGGAATTAACCCGCCAAATTGGGCAGGAAACCTGGATGAAATAAGCCACGTGAGCTCTGGCTTGCCACCAGTGCAGTGAGGCGGTGCCCTCAGCATGCTGGGCGGAACGTTGTGGAAGCACAGCCTTCGAGCAGGACCGCCCACCTGTTAGAAGGGAGTATTCCTCTACAGAGCTGAGGGGCGGTCGGCCACCTTCAGGCCCCCGCGGCCCTGCTGTCCCCGGCACAGTGACTGAGGTTCTCGCTGAGGGCCTCATCCCCTCCAGGTCAGGCCTGTCCAGGAACCTTGCTCTGTCAGCTGCAGAGCAGGGCAGAAGCTCATGGTTAAAGCCATCCCAGGGCAGCGGCCACTCTTCCCTCCTGGCTGCCCAGCTGGGCCTCTGACAACAGCAGCCACAAGGCAGGCAGAGTTCAAAGGCCGCCTTCCCTTCCACTGCAGGCCTTGGCTTTGCTGCTTCTGGGCTCCGAGAAAGGAACGGGGCCGTGGAAACCAGAGAAATGGTAAGGAAGCCACAGAGAAGGCCGCCTTGCAGACACGAAGTGGGACTTTCCATAAGACAGCATCTCTAGCTGGACTTGAGGGGGAGAGGGAGGCCCCAGCACACAGGAGGCTGGGGTGGAGGTCCTGGCTCTGAGGTGCCGCCTCGCCTCCCCAGGGCGCACCCAAGCCCAAGGGTTCCTTCCTAACCATGGGGTCTGAGTTTGTCATCTTCCAGCTTTCTCAAGTCCCCTGAGTCATCAGAACTTCCTCTCCACACAGGCAGGTCTGTGTTTTATATGAACCATGTTTCCATGGTAAATAGATTTTAAGAATTCCCAAAGGACAGACAGTGTCACCAACAGCAGAGAGTGGAGCCTCTGGCTGCCTCATGTTTGAAAGTGTTAAAAATAAAGACAACACTGACATTTGGGGTTGTAATGTGACGGAATTACAGTCTTTTAAAGGCAAGAACCACTGATCTACACTACATGTAATATTCAGTGTTTTGTTCACTTGTCTAATTGGATTAAAATATTTAGCTC